TTTTTTTGTTTTTTTTGCTTTTTTGCTTTTTTGGCTAAAGAGGAATGAAAAAAATCTCTCCCTTGTACAGTCTGACTTTGGTAGTCTAGTAATTGTTGGTTAATGGGGAAAACTATAGTGGAGATGGGGATAGAGAACCTAAATAAAATATACACAGAGTGAAATGTTGCTTTATTAATTGTTTACAAGTTACTTGTTGGGTGTGGCGACATTCTGACAGAAAACCCACTACGATTACCTCCAACTGTTCTTCGAAGCTAAAAACCTTTGTTTTGATCGCAAAGTTTCTTCCCTTTTCCTGGAAATATTGAAAAATGTTTCAATTCAAGCTGGGGAAGCCATGCTTCGATCATCTCCAGGCCAGGGTTGGCAGGTTAAGAGGAGGAGGGATATTATTATTATCATTATCATCATCATTATTATTATTTGCTGATGTTGTTGTGATTTATCATTATTATCATCATCATCATTATTAGTTGTTGATGTTGTTGTTGTTGTGATTATGTTTCTTTTATTTATTTATTTTTTCGATGGATCGGTCGGTGGATAATGAACAGCTAACTCGGGGCTTTGCTCCTGGCCGACTAGCAGCCGATAGAAACCACGAGGACGCCGTTTTGTAAAATAGAAATCAAGAGCGAATCATCTCACTTAAGCAGAACTATAACTAAACTTCCGTCTAATAATGATTTCCAGTTATGTGTTCCTGTAGTACTTACAGTAGTAAGAAACCACAGGCTTATTTAGCGAGACGTACTGCGTCGTCAATTGAAGCTTGCAGCTGCGTACAAAGCGAAAGCGACCCTCGGTACATGTGGCAATTTTGAATTAAACTGATGTTATATTTTTGTTAAGTCACATAACGGTAAATGTCATTCGTTCAGTCTTCTTGGGAAATAGCCCCTTCAAGGCGTTGGGTTACTTGAGGCACAGCGCGAAAAAATAGGGGAGAAGCGCGCCAAGCTTCTCTTTGCTTTTTTCGCTCCGCCGTCTTTTCATGCCACGCCCTACTAACTGAACGCCCGGAAAGGGCTACTTTGGAAATGAATTAATTAGTAACGTTTCTAAATCTTTCTTCCGGTCTTCAGAGAACTTGGAAACGGCGCAATTGTAGACAAACCCAGCACACTAATAGCTAACAAACTAATGGCTAACAGTCTACGACAGGATTAGCCAATCGGAGTGCCGCATTTTCATTAGTATACTATCAATTTTCTTTTGAAAAATACTTTCCACTGTTTCGTGAAATATTCTATCAAGGTTAATTCTTAGCAGCTAATTCTGGTATCGATACAGGATCTGATATCGATGTCTGTATTGAAAAGGTAAACAATTATGAAAGTGGCTTGAGAGAAAGGAAAAAATAAGTTATTTACCGGCTTAGGGTGGCTCCGTATAGTATTTAACTGTCGGTCACTGTTTTCCACTACACGGACCTCCAAGCCGGAAAATAACACATATATCCCCTCTCCTTCCTCCCATCCCCCATTTGATATGTTAAGACACTCCGTCCGTATATAACTATTTGGAAAACCAATCAAAACTTTGTTGGAATTTGGCAAGATAATAATCACCAAATCTGAAGGGCATTTTTAATAGTAACTCGGGGGTGTAGGTAAGGTGCCTCGTCAGGTCGCTATCCAAAGGCTCGATGACACACTTAGGGTTGGGTCCGTAAAAGAATGGGGCTGAATATCTGTGCTTATTTGGAGAGCTCCTCACACGATGGATACTTGCGCGATAAAGACCCTTGGTCCAAGCCTCTAGTGGGTCTCCGACATTAACGACGAAGGTGCCTGTGGGAAGAAATAATGAGTTTAATTTTCTTTAGAATTCTTTATATCCTACAATTATGAACCACTGCGGTAAAAATAAAGGACTTAATAGACGGACAATTCTTTCTTGAGTGGGGGCGGGATTGAGCAATTTCCAAAAACAAATTCCTGCACAGCAAAAACTGCGGGGGAAAAAATCGTGCAAGCAGAGCCATGGGGAAAAAAATCGAGCAAGTTCTTTGTACTATCCAGGTCCTGTGTTCGACTTTAAAAACATTCTTGCTAACTGTTGCCCACCAAAAAGAATCATGCACAACCTAAAAATGAAAAAACGGTGATGCTCTAGAAAATTGCCCAACCCCTCCCCCACCCCCCTAAAAAAAAACCGGGCGGTCCCTTAGCTGCTAAGCTGTAAGCTGAAGCGGTGTCAGTTAGCTTATATAACACCAAGCAAACTCAGTTTTCCTATGCGCCTGATTTCAGATCAGGCAGATCGAGTGTATGCCTCAACTACTAAAGCAACAGTCTTTTTTTAAAAGTTAAAATTTATTCCAGCGGATTTTGCTGGGGAGAGGTAGTTTATTTGAAGAGAATTTTCGCGTCTCCATTGCTTACGAATTGCACTTGTATTATGGTGCTGGTCGCTGATAAAATGTGCAAATAGTTTCATGTGATGAGTCGTGAATTAAACAGCAATTATTTCTGAACTTGAAGACCAAATATGAGCTCTATGCTCTAGGCTTAAGGCATTTCAGGTTAAGCGATTTCTCAAGTCTACGTCGCGCCAAACGTTCCATATCGTCTAAGCATACAGCGGTTTCGCTCATGAAGCGATCAGGAGTACGACTTCCCCCTGGATGGGATGCTGGTCCATCGTAGGGATACTCCTCCCCTTTCCCCTCCCCCTCCCTATAGCATTTAAATCACTGATACTCATTTATGCAGCAGGATGGAGAAAAGCAATGTGATAGCATTGGGATGCTTTCCATTCAACAAAAAATTTCGAAATGGGGACAACTGTTGCAGAAATTTCCAGGGAAATTTTCCAGAAAATCAGAAAATTGCTGAATTTCCGAAAAGCAACCATTCAAACGAAAATTCTGGAAATTCCGGTAAGAAGTTTCCGAAAGTTTCGGTATACCTCGCAAGGTTTTCTTCTTTTCCGGAAATTTTCGAAAATGCTGTTCCATTCGTTGCTGGAGATTTCCGGAAATTCAAACCGGAATTCATAATCGAAAGGACAGCGTCCAATGTAAGACACCGGCGTCCAGGGTTGGAATCCGGACCGCTCGATCCAGATGTCACAGCACACCAACCATTAGGCCTCGCACTATCGATTTGATTGTGAGGGTGTGATTACTAAGGGATATAGAAATTGGGGTAAAAATGACAACTACTATTTTCTACTTTAACAAAACTCACCAGGAATGGGAGGTACATCTATCCAGTCTCCATCCGGGGTCTGAACTTCCAATCCACCGACCTCATCCTGCAGTACCATTGTAAGCACTTCGTGGTCCGTATGTGGCCCCACCCCCCACGAGCTGCCCTCCTCACCGGGGTGAGCAGGGTACGACCACATTGCCATCCACGCACTTGGATTAGAAAACATGTCGTCAAAATAATTGTTCCTGAGTTGTAGTGCCATTGCTATAGCACGCATTAAAGAGAACCTGGAAATAAATGTTTGATATTCATAAGCGACAGCGTGAATCAAGAGCTTTTTTTTCCTCGTTACCCAACGAAAATTTTACTGACGACAAGAGGTACTTTCCACCCTATCTTAAGTGAAATATTTTGGTATGTCAGTGTTGTTAGACTGCAGGATATAAGAATTTTTTTTCGGCGATTTCATTTTGGAAAAAAAGTGTCTAAATCCTTAAATATTGTTTCCCGACTCTGTAGTCTGGGTGTTAGAAGAGAGTAAGGCGGCTGTCTTAGCTAAACAAGAAAGCAACTTCAGAAGGAGAATTCGTGAGGCCTTGGAAATTCTATGCCAGTCTCGGACGCTCGATCGAGACCGTGGACTTCCCGCCCTATACGGAGATGCTGTGGCATGTGACTTGATCACGTGACAAATAGATTCCCGCCATATTCACTTGAGAAAGACGCTGCGACAGCATCGAAAGTTTGTGATCGATAGAACACCGAATCTGTTTCGGTACCTCGTTTCTTACTTGAGTTATATTATATTTTTGCACGACTCCAAAAGCTAGTGAGCTTTAATTTAATCGTGTTTAAATGAAATTGTATGTCTGTCCGTCTGTCTGTCTGTATGTCTCTCTGTCTGTCTGTCCGTCTGTCCGTCTGTCCGTCTGTCCGCCTGTCTCTCTGTCTATCTGTCTGTCTGTCTGTTTGTCTGTCCGTCTGTCCGCCTGTCTCTGTGTCGGTCTGTCTAGCAGTAACAAAGGTATCTTACTGCTTTCTGTGTTTGACCAAGTTTTGGATAGTGTTCCAATCAATAAAGTTAGGTAGCGTTAACTTTGAGTGGTGCTAACTCAATGTTTCCCGCATATTTCCTATTGTGTTTGTATTGCTGTATTCATTTTAGTCTGTTATAAGGTCAAAAAAATAGTTTCTTGTTCTGTCGCATGGCGAAAGGCTCTAGGGCGCATTCCTCTCCAATTTTCTAGGAGTATCCGCCGACACCTTTCCCGAGGGCGCATAGTTGCTAATAACTGTAATCACAAGAGACAAAACCAGATGCAAGTTTAGTTTTTTCGAAATTCCTGACTGATTTCAAAAAACCTGCAAAGTGCTCTGCAGATTAACGATTTTTGTAGTTTTGTTTCAAATGCTTTAAGCGTTTATTTCCTGCCAGAAACGGCTGCCCCGCCTCTGCAGCAGAAATCCAATTAAAACCTTAGCTCAGACAAATTTGAGAATTTAAACCAATAAAGGGCAAAACTATTTTTTTCTGTCTACACCAATATGTTCCTAAACGATACTTTTTTCGAGTGAAAATAGAGCTGTAACCCGGATAGGACGTATGTAAAAAGTAGTTAAAAAACGTTGTCTGGTTAAAAGTATTAAAACATAAGCTTTCGGCTATCAGTCTATGGCCTTTAACGAATGGAAATGTTGGCGCGCGAATGAAAATATTTACGAAAAGGGGTGCGAAAAATTTTATAAAACTAGAATACAAAAGAAGTGTGACTGTGTGTCAGCGTATGACTTCGAAAACGGCATTTTCTAAATACGAGTAACTAAGTATGAACGCACCCAACTGTCTTCATTTGATCCCTGTATTGCTTTACAGCATTAGCAAAGTTTGGAAGGTCCCTCTCGTCTGGGTACTGATTTGGCCCCACCATGGGAGTGCCAGAAATGATATCCGGGTCATCAAAACTGACATCCGGTCCAAAGTAGATCCCTTCCTTGATATCTACCTTGCCTGCTGTCTTTTCTGATCCTGTAGGAGTACAAATAGGATGAAATAAAAGTTCACAGGAACCAGACCTCGTGATAAAGGGTTTCTATCGGCTGATAATTGGCGAGGAAGGAAAGCCTTCAGTTAACTACGATAGTCAACAGTCCAATTCTTTTAGCATAACCCAGTTGAGACTTATGAATATACGATGTTGATAAAACTAATTTATTTACGGTTTTGTGTATTACTTTCGAGTCATAATGCATGAAGAACCATGCACTTATGCGCCTCAAGATAGATCGTTATATTGTTTGCTGTTTTTTGTAATTTTTTGTAACATAATCGCAGGCAACTGTCAGCCCATAGGTCCTCGACAAAAACACCCAATGCCAACTCTTTGAATAGTAGGTCCACAGCACTCAAACGCAAAAATTCTGAACGCCATTTCGGTTTTCCTCGGTTGTAAGAGTTTAAAGCGAAATGTCCGAAATGTTCAAGACTTTTACAAAAAAGAGCAATGATAAACAGAATTGCGAACCAGTTTATTAGGTTAATAAACATTATTAAGTTTTGTGTTTGGTCTTTGCTTTTGACCTGGATGTGGATACCAACTTGTAAGCTACGGTTTAAGGCGGGAGATGAGCGCGCATTGCAGTTGAGCGCCGCGGAAATAGCCAATCAAATTGGGCCCAATAGTCAGCCACTTGGCTTATAGCCGAGATAATTAACTTCTTGGCTATTTTTGCTTTATTCAATAACATGATTAGTTCCTGGGCCGGGAATCTTGCCAGGGTCTCTAAACGCATTTGTTGCTAACCGGTTAAGAGGCACCCTCTCTCCCCCTTAGAGGGGGGTGGAGGTGGTAGAGTAGTAAGGGAAGAGTCGTGCAATATTTATTTTATTATTCTTAAATTGTAATATGTTTTGATCGGATA